TTTTATTTTGGCGTCTGTTACTGTATTCCTGTTTCTTTAATTGCATCATATTTTAGCAATTTAACATGCAAGTGTGCATGCAGTTTAAGCAGTTCACTTACTTCGAGCATACCACAGTTGCTGTTGTCGCCAAACGTGCTCCCTTTCATCCCGCCTTTCGAATAGCTTCTCCCCTCGTTGGCGACTTTATAACAGTGTAGAATATAAGGACTGGATAAATTGATGATATGTGGGGCCAGTCTCCTGTCTCGCGAGTTTCGAGAGCCAGCAGATATAATTTTCAGAGGAAAAATATTTGACATGACGTTAAAAAATGTTTCTAAAAGAGACCCGCCGCCGGAGCACTTGGAGGAAGATGGGAAGTAGAGTTCACTGAGTATTTATAGCTTCGCAAGTTATATTGCACTGCTTACTGATTAGAAGAGATGCAGACAAGAACTAATGTTATTCGCTAATCTTTTGAAGGCTTATAATGAATGAAGGTTTGGATGCCGGTTCACAGCTGCCATTTTTGCGAAAGTGCGAGGAATTAGGTTGGGGAGTGATTGTAATGAATACAAATTTGAATTTCTATACACCCGATAAGTACTTTCCAGTAAGTTTTTTCCTCATTCTGATACGCACGCCATGTCAAACTGATCACGGGTCCTGTGAGATTTCCAATGGGTGCATGTGTAGTTCAGAAAAATTTTAGTGTTCATAAATGAGCTTTTCGAAGAGTTGTTGCTGCCGTTAGCGAGTGTTGTCTTTGATCCATTTCGTTTTCGTTTTTGGAAGAATTTATTTTCGAATGCTTTGTTGATTTGGGGGTCTACATCTATAGCGTCAAACCTTTAATTCTGCTATCTCTACGATTTTTCGAATTGTTTTGATAACTGGGAAGCTTGACGCGGCTGTAGGTAAGATCGCTTTCAGCTTCTGATTTTGCTGATAATCGGAGAAAGAGTCATGGAGGCTTTTGCTTGCGACTGATTGCTTCCGACAAAATGGTAGCACCTGAGTTATTTTCAGCGCTTCTTGTTTCGTAGAAAATATAGCCCGCAAATTGCTCTGATTTCCTTTATTGTAATGTATTTCTGACTTACAGGGAAGTTCTTCACCAGTGGAACATGGCACTACGGTCTGGCAAACGTACGTTGCTAAGGCGAAGGCGCGCTGTATTGCAGTAATCGCTCATAGCGCAGGCGGTTCAGTGATTGCAGGCATTGTAAGTTCGTAGTTTGGCTTGCGGATTCGAACGAAGCAAAAGCTAGTTGCTAAGGAGGAATTCGGCCTCGTGGTTTGTCCTGAAAAATTAGAATGCAGTTGAAGAAGTTTGTTGCTGTTGCAGCATCGGTGCACTACGGTGCTCAGTGCTGATCGCCTGTGTGCTTCTGCAGGCCCTTCCGTAATTGCTTTGGTTAAACATGGAACACCAGAAGCCAGTTGGCGGGTAATCCTGGGTTCACTTACGTCCTTTCTTCCTGCTGGAAAGTGCATTTTTTTTTTTACGGCTGCTTGGTTTTTATGCGTTTTTTGCAGCAATGCTCAGGACCTATAAAAGCTGCTGGGCTGAAATTTCGGGAATTTAATCTACATTCACGTACTGCCCCCAATCCCCAAAATGGGTGCCAAAACCCGCGTGGTACCCGCGTACGGGCCCACCAAAGTTTTTTGGGGGTCAGTTCATAACTTGAGGATCTGAGAAGCTAGAACGCTGAAATCTTGGGGTAATGTTCCCTGCCCAACCCGGTATTAGTGGGCTCAAACCCAGCCCCCGGGTAGGCGTGGTACTCGCGTACGAGGCCGCCGAAGTTTTTGTCGGGTAAGTTCATAACTCGGGGATCTGGGAAGCTAAAAGGCTGAAATCTTGTGAGGCCACGGAAGCTAGAAAGCTGAAATTTTAAGGGGATGTTTCCTGACAGTTCTGGCGGTCAGTCTTAATTTGTCTAGCTACAAGCATTTGCCGAAAAAACCGGTGCCGGTAGCAACAAAAACTGCGGGGGACCGTGCGATAAACGCATCTTCGCATGGGCAGCCCGTGCGTTGGCCAATTATTCATCTTGTCATTAATAGTGTTTCGCTCGTGCTTTCGTCTTGAGGGGCGGCATTTGCTAGCACTGACAGCGTGGTGCAACGTTAGTCGGTGTTGTAGTAGGTGGTTACCATGTTGCCCTGATTTATTAATGAATGATTGCTCAAAAGTGCAGTGCTGTGTTTTGTGGTTCTACAGATTGAGAATTGCTGGTCAACGGAAATGGCGAACAGATTGAGGTGTGTGTGTCTCACGGATGCTGCATTCAAACTTTCATCTGCGGTGAATCTCACGTTGTTACCACCGATACGAAATTGGGTTGTTTCGATTCAGAAAGTAGTGGGAGTGCCGGTGGACAGCAAAGGAATATTTGGTGAATACGTGACCTGCGTTAGTTCAGGAACTATGAAGCATGATGAAACATCGACTAGCGCAATGGCGGATATATTCAAATTTATTGTCACTTGCTTCCAGTAGGAATGGGGTTTTTTTTAGTGTGTAACACTTCGTTTTGGTTGTTTGCTTTTTTTCTGGATAAAAGTGTTCTGCAGATCACTTTTGATGCACTTGACATCCACAGTGCTTTTCATTGCATCGCTTATCTTTTAATGATTCGCAGCAGTTTACAGCGAACAGGGAAAAGTTTGCAAAGTTTGTGCTGAGGAAAAAGGTCGTGATCTACCGCCGATCACTTCGCAAAGCTTGTATCACCATTTATAATCTTGGCAAGGGTTGCAGCAATAACATCTTTAGGCAGTGCAAATGGCATTTTCTACATAGAGCAAATTGACGAAGATATATTTTGAACAATTACTAAATCTCAAAATATTTGTTTTTCATAGCAATAGCACATCGAAATGGCTCAGCAGTGTGCTGGAGGCATGTTGCACCAGCTGATTCACGGGAAGAAAGGAGGGCGGGGGGAGGGTTGATTCTCAGCTTAGTTTTTGAAAGAACTGTGTGCAAAAAGAGGAGATTTGTGAGGAAAATTCGTTGTGGAAGTTGTAATGCTCAAATTCGATCAGAACGGCGAAGGTTGAGCCTCAGAAGGAGAATATCATTTAATCATGAGGTGCTGGAGTCGTGGTGGTGCAGGTCAGGCCAGCTATGCCTTTTTGTTTGAACGAATTTTTTGCTGTACATTTTAGCAGTTTTTACCC